CCACCACAACCAGCCTCTCCATACACTGTCATAGCGACACCATCTCGGTGACGTTAGGGAACTGGGCAGCTGACAGTTGACTGAAAATAAAGGCAAAATTAGAAAGAAATGTGACAAAAAGCACATTGTATCACTGAATAAAAAGCAGTTGATCGTGGGGTGTGGAGGGGGTGGGGGAGACACATCTCTCGCGCCTGACTAACGCCCTGATGAATATACACTGGCCTTTTAAAAGCGACTTGTAGAAACGCGTTCATGTGACCTCTGTGAGGAAAACAGGGGGTCCGTCCTCTCCAGTCGTTCTCCTCCCCAGCTCATCCCCTCAGTCTGCCCCAGTCTCTCTCCATCTCCTCCCTCTGTTCTGCCCTTCAGTCGCTCTCCCCTCAGGCTGTCCCCTCCTCAGCTTCTCCCTCCTCCAGCGTCTCTCCCTCAATCTGTCTCCTCTCCCCCAGGCTGCTCCCTCTCTCCAGTCCTGTCGCTCTCTCAGTCCTGTCTCTCTCTCCAGCTGTCCTCAATCCCAGGCTGATCCCTCTCTCCAGGCTTCCTCATACGGCCGGTCCCAAAATCTCCCTCCAGGCTGTCTGAACATTGACAGTATGCTGTATATTAGAGTCTGACTGCACATTAATAAAACACAGCATTTATGTTTCTGGCTGTGGGAGGAAATCAACTAAAAACAGATTCTACTCAGAAAATATGACAATTTATAAGTTTACTGCCAAAAATAAAGAGTTTATCTTTTCAATCTGAGGTTTAGAGATGGAAGATAAATCCAGCAACTGGAACTCTCTAATGGATCCGTTTCTCATCCTGTACTGTCTGTTCACTGAATGTCTTTGTATTTATTAAACCTTTCTTTAATAGTGATGCCTTCTTCATCCTGGGACTCTGCTGTCTGTCTATATGAGGACTGATGTTTTACCAAAGTATGGAGAAACACATCATCACCTTTTTATCTACATTTGCTTCATATATAATGTAAGACAGACAGAGAACATACTGACTGAGAGCTGTTGTTGCTGTACCGTCATTAAACATCATTTACTGCAGTCATTCTGTCTCCTTCAGAATAAAAGCTCGACTCTCTGCCCTGACGGGGGAACGAACTGAAAACTTGTTCTGTGGTGATGTAATTTCCCTAAAAGTCCACCTCCCTTTCCTGTTTACATGCCAACAATCTCTTGGGTTTCCTGTGACCATGAAAACACCACATGAAGAAACAACCCTGTCCTCACGTAACCTTTCCAAACAGGATCTGTATCAGACTACAGGCCCAGTGTGTGATCAGGTGACCTACAACCCCGGCACTGTGATCTGACGGGTACACCACAGGACCCTTCCTGCACAGCTCCACCAGACTGTGGGACCGGAGCCGGACCACGTGCTCGTAACCGGGGCTCCATCAGGACCACTGACCTGTAATACACAGAAAGAAGAAGAGATCCTGATCACATAACAACCTGATCAACGGAAGAATAAAGCGAATCTGCTGCCGGCTGGAGGAGGCTGAGGGATCCAACGAGTCAAACGTCTCTATCTTCCTCCTCCTCCTCCTCAGTCAGGAGCTCGCTGCCGTTGGACTCGTCTGGGTCATCTGGATATTCCTGCAGCACCCGGCCACTCTGACTGTAGAGGTAACTGATCCCAATCTGCCCCCCTAGAAGAGGATGATATGACCTGGAAACCTTCCTCCCTGTTTGTATTACCTGTGTACTCCAGCAGCTCAGAGTAGCTCCCAGCCAACACGACCCGGGCAATTCTCTTCCTCTGGGTGGACGAAGACTGGAGCCAACCTGCCCTCCATTCAGGACCTGTACTGGTCCAGAGTCAGGAAACAGGCAGGAAACATCTGTAGATCCATCTGACCCTGAACACAACCTGTTCCAGCTCCTGCCCTCTGGTAGGCGCTACAGAGCACTGTACACCAACTCCAACAGACACAGGACCAGTTTCTACCCACAATCCATCACTCTGACCAACACTTAACTAACTAATTAATAAAGTAATAATCCCTGTACAGTAACCCTGTAACATCTACTGCACCTGTAAACTAATTAAGTAAGTAAGTAAGTAATTACTGTCATAGCTACCTACCTTATACATAAAGCTGGTAAAGGTAAAAACCAGTTAACTTCCTTGTACATATACACATAGCTGGCCAATAAAGTGATTCTGATTGGTTCTGTCCTATAGTCTCTCTGCATTGGAGTGCAGTGTCTCTTTTTCTTCAGCAGCCATATTTATAAAATTAAAGGTTTAAGCTGCAATGATCGAGCACTCACAGTCCACAAACATCGGGACGTGCTGCGGTCAGACTTCCTCTTGGTGCATTAATCAGAAAACATTTTCTGGTTCTGGTCCTACCAGGAAGTGGACATTTCTTATCTTCTCCAACCAGCTGGAAGGAACAACGTCAACTCCTGTAATAAGATCTTTAATGTCAGTTCTTTGGCTGAAATTAAAGACTCCTTCTCATTCAAACTGCACCACCCAGCCTCCGCAGACAGTAACTGCAGATGTTCACATCAAGTTGTTCATTCTCATCTATTGTACCATCATTTTACACCAACCATGGGCAACAGATCTTCAAGGGATTTAAAACTAAAGAAGCAAACTGTCTTTAATTCCTGGGTTTACAGGATTCCTGCTCTCTGCTACAATGAAGACCAGACTCTTCTGGCCTTTGCAGAGAAGAGGAAATGTCAGGACGACACGAGCAGCAAACACTTGGTGATGAAAACAGGAACGATAAAGGAGGAAAACTCTAAGAAAACCATTGAGGTAATTAAACCAAATAATGGATTTTATTGCTGAATTACTGCTGAATATATTGTTTCCAACTCATTATAAAAACTAACAGCATTTTAATGAAAGAAGAAAGAATGTGGAGTCACTCAATCACATTAATTAAACTAACTCAAAAATGTAGTGTTGAAGTAAAAACTGAACTTAAATGTGTTCAGTTTTTTGAGTTTTGGTTATTTAATTCAAGTTTGTTGCATTTCTGTGTTTCTTAAAGAAAACCTGACCACATTCGGTGTTATAATGCCGTATAACTGAGGATATTCCACTTTTAATTTCAGTTTATTAACCTTCATATGCTGAAGTATGCATCAATTAATTAATGATCCTCCAAATGTAAAGATTGTATGTTTTATTAAAACTATAGTTCCTTAACTACAGCAGTAATAATGTTTAGGTTGTTTAGTGAATAAACTTTAATAGGTTAAAACAGTTTGAGCTGAACCAACTCATCAGGTTTACTTTGTTTTATGAACATTATTCTTTCTAGTGGTCTGATTTCAAAGAGGTGAAGAATGCTCATCTTGATGGATACCGTCCTATGAACCCCTGCCCGGTGTATGACAGAGACAACCGAACACTCTTCCTGTTCTTCACCTGTGTGGAAGGAACTGTGTCAGAGCAGTGGCAGATAGACAACCGCACCAATAAAACCCGTCTGTGCTTCGTTACAACCACAGACATAGGCCACAGTTGGAGCACAGTGACTGATCTCACTGACACACTGAGTGAAATTAGACAATGGGCCACGTTTGCTGTTGGTCCAGGTCACGGGATCCAAACAGAGAGTGGTAGATTGATTGTTCCACTGTATGCTTACTGTATCTCTATGGACAAATGTAGCTGCCCCAACCCGTATGTGTTCTGTCTCTATAGAGATAAAAACGACAGTTGGCATCTTGGAAAACCGCTTAAAAAAAAATCACTGGAATGTGAAATGGCAGAGATTTCTGATGGCAAACTCTACTGCAATGCCCGTAGTAAGGGAGGCTACCGGGTGGAAGCTCTCAATATGGAGACCCTCAAAGAGACTAATATGCTTGTGGAAACCGGTGGAGGCTGTCAGGGAAGTGTGGTTTCCTTTCCAGCTCACATTAAAGCTGCAGATTGTGAACCAAAGTGGCTGCTGTTCAGCCACCCGACTGACCGGTCCAAAAGGATCGACTTAGGAGTTTATCTGAATAAATCTCCAATGAAACCAAAAGCTTGGAGGAAACCCTGGATCATCAACAGAGGACCCAGTGGGTACTCAGACCTGGCTCACATTGGTGATGGTTGGTTTGTGTGTCTGATGGAGTGTGGAGAGCAGAGAGAAACTGAGCAGATCGCCAGTGTACTTTTCACCTACGATGACTTAAAGTAGGGAATCAGAGAGAACTGCTGTTAAACTTCTTCTGTGGTTTTGTTTTCCTCATTCGAGACTTCACAGTGATGTTTTATGATTTGAAACTATTAAACTGAAATCCTTTGTATATATTAAAGATGGCTTCTATTCACCTAAAATGATGAAGGGCTCTATGAATACACCTGACTTTAAGATGCTAAGATTATATAACCCAAATTGAAAGTGTATGATAATAGGCTAATGCTAATGTTAATGAAGCATATGAAGCATTGTGAAAGTGATCAGATAGACTTTAAAGGTTTGTAGCTACGAGAAGAAAGTAAAACGACACCTCATATATTAAAATATAATAAAGTGCTTATAATTACTCACACTATCATTAACAACCATATTGATGATGTGTTATACTCTACTAACATTCTGAGGTCTGATTCAAAGATGATGTATTGAAAGTTTATGTTATAATTCTTTTTTACGTTTTTAGTGTATTTTTTAGCTGAAGGGACTCACTGAGAATGAGCTGTCAATCACAAGGTAGCCCCGCCCTAAAGTATGTACTGTACTGTATATGTACTAATGTAAACTCAGATATATA